ATTTCTTCATTTATAAACTTGCCTTATTGAAACGAAACACAGAAAAGGTTGATATTTCTGGTTATTTGAAAGCAAAAGATCCTAGCTTCTGATTTAAAATAACTTTTGCTATTAAATTTAATTATCTAAGTTAAACATTAATCTTTGGATTAAAATTAGATCAAACAGGTTGATGTATGAACTTAGATCGATATATAAGTATCCGGGATATTTATATATGATCTAAGCCTCATAGGTTAATCTGATTGGTCATTTTCGGAATCTCCACTGAATAGCAACAGGGTGATTCCAGTATGCAGATTTAACTCTACAACGGTCTTCAACTCCCACCTCTGGCAGAGCTTTGACCGTGTCCCGAGAGCAGTGGGGGACATCGACTCCAAGTGGGCCTTGTTCCACTCTGCGATTGTTGAGGTGGCTGTTGCTAGCTGTGGTCGCAAGGTGGACGATGCCAGTCGTGGTGGCAACCCCTGTACCCGCTGTGGACACCAGAGGTTCGGGGAGCCGTCAGGCTGAAGAAGGAGGCCTACAGGGCGTGGCTGGTCTGTGGGTCTCCGGAGGCAGCAGACAGGTACTGGATCAGCCAAGCGGGGTGCAGCAGTGGCATTGCCTAGACAAAATCTCGGGCGTGGGAGGAGTTTGGTTAGGCCATGGAGAAAGACTATCGATTGGCCCCAAAGAGGTTCTGGCAAACTGTCCGGCGCCTCAGGAGAGGGAGGCAGCAACTCGCTCACACTGCTTACAGTGGGGATGGGGAGCTGCTGACATGAAATGGGGCTATAGTCGGATGGTGGAAGGAATATTTTGAGGAGCTCCTCAATCCCACCTACGCACATTCCGAGGAGCCAGAGCCAGGAGACCTGAGGATGGACTGTCCAATCTCTGGGGCAAGTTGCTGAGTCAAACAACTACACAGCGGCGGAACCCCGGGGGTGGATGAGATTCGTCCTGGGTATCTCAAGGGTATGAATGTGGTAGGGCTGTCGTGGTTGACACGTCTCTGCAACATTGCGTGGTCATCGGGGACATTTCGTGTGGAGTGGCAAACTGGGGTGGTGGTCCCCATCTTTAAGAAGGGTGACTGGAGGGTGTGTTCCAACTATAGGGGGATCACACTTCTCAGCCTCCCTGGAAAGGTCTACTCCAAGGTACTGAAGAGGAGGGTCCGATCGATAGTTGAATCTCAGATTGAGAAGGAGCAATGTGGTTTTCGTCCTGGCCGTTGAACTGTGGACCAGCTCTATACCCTTGCAACGGTGATTGAGGGGGCATGGGAGTTTGCCCAACCAATCCACATGTGTTTTGTGGATTTGGAGAAGGCTTATGACCGTGTCCCCAGGGGCACCCTGTGGGGGACGCTCCAGGAGTATGGGGTGGGTGGCTTTCTGTTAAGGGCCATTCAGTCCCTTTACCAGAGGAGCGTGAGTTTGGTCCGCATAGCCGGTAGTAAGTCGGGCCTGTTCCCTGGGAGGGTTGGACTCCGCCAGGGCTGCCCTTTTTACCTTTATGGACAGAATTTCTAGGCACGGCTGTGGTGTGGAGTGTGTCGAGTTTGGAGGCAGGAGAATCTCGTCTCTGCTTTTTGTGGATGATGTGGTCCACCTAGCTTCATCCAGCTCTGACCGTCAGCTCTTGCTGGGTGGGTTCACGGCCGAGTGTGAAGCGGCTGGGATGAGGATCAGCACCTCCAAATCTGAGACCATGGTTCTCGACCGGAAAAGGGTGGCTTGCCAACTCCGGGTCGGGAGAGAGGTCCTGCCTCAAGTGGAAAAGTTTAAGTATCTCGGGGTCTTGTTCACGAGTGAGGGTAGGAGGGATCGGGAGATCGACAGGCAGATTGGTTCAGTGTCTGCAGTGATGCGGACGCTGAGCCGATCTGTTGTGTTGAAGAGGGAGCTGAGCCAGAAAGCCAGGCTCTCGATTTACCGGTTGATCTACGTCCCAATCCTCACCTATGGTCATGAGCTTTGGGTAATGACCGAAAGAACGAGATTGCGGATACAAGCGGCCGAAATGAGTTTCCTCCGTAGGGCGGCCGGGCTCAGCCTTAGAGATAGGGTGAGGAGCTCGGACATTCAGGAGGGACTCGGAGAAAAACCGCTGCTCCTCCGGATCAAAAGGAGTCAGTTGAGGTTGTTTGGGTATCTGCTCAGGATGCCTCCTGGACACCTCTCTGGGAAGGTGTTTCTGGCATGCCCTGCTGGCTGGAGGCCCCCGGGTCAACCCAGGACACGTTGGAGAGGTTACATCTCCAATCTGGTCTGGGAACGCCTTGGGGTCCTGCCGGAGGAACTGGTGGAGGTGGCCGGGGAGAGGACGGTCTGGAGCTCCCTAGTTGGGATGCTGCCCCTGCGACCTGGACCCGGATAAGCGGAGGACGATGACGACAGCGTATGATAACAAAGTATATAGATTAATCTGGGATGGATTTTTTCTTCAATTTCTCCTGATTTCTTGAAATGCAATTTGATTATGTTATATGGTGCTACAATGAAACAGCAAAATTAAGTATTTACTTGTTAAACTTTTGGTATGCTGCTATAGGCAGCTGACTCTTTAACAAAGTTTATTTTATTATTATGATTTATTTACTTGTGTGAGTGGGACAGACTATATTGAAGATTTTCTTCTGTCTGCTCCTTTTCATTTAAGTCTTACAAGTTGTATTATTTTGTGGTAAATAATTTTATTTTAAAATGAATGAAATAAATAAATTGAAATTGAAATTAAATTAAATTCAAAGAGTAAAAGAAACCAAGTTTTTAGGAATCATGTTCGAAGAGGATTTTACTTGGAAGTCACATATAAGTTATATAAAGGGGAAAATTGCCAAAGCCATACCAATATTATATAAGGTCAAGTTTCCACTGAATAGTTCTGGATCAATGTATACTTATTGTGTAGAAATCTGGGGAGCCAAGTACAAACCACAACCTTTGTTTATTCTAGAGCAATCAGAAAATTAGACAGTGGTTGAAAATGATTATGTGAATGTCTGTCCTGCATGGACAAGTGGGTTCAGATAAAGGGTGGATGGGTGGAATATTTTTTAACGCAAAGAAACACATTTCTGGTTTCTGGTCAGGTCCCTGCTTACTTTAATAACGCTGTAATCCACCCCGCTTCTTAAAAAAACGAGTCTTGACCCTTCTCTCCATAGCAGCTTCAGACCCATCTCTAAACTTCCGTTCCTCTCCAAGATCTTGGAAAAGGTTGAGGCAAAAAACTCAAAGCTGCTCTTAATGAACATAACATCTATGATTCCATTTAAGTTTTTGTAGAGCTCATTCTACTGAAACAGCTCTTCTTAGGGTCTCTAATGGCCTTCTGACTCACAGTCATGCAGGGAACTGTTCTGCTCTGGTTCTGCTGGACCTGAGTGCAGCCTTTGACACTGTTGACTATCACCTGCTACTGGAGAGGCTGAGAGACTGGGTAGACCTATCAGAAACTGCCCTGGAGTGGTTCTCCTCTTATCTTTCTCAGCGCTCCTTTTCTGTGGCCATCTCCAATTTTATGTCCTCCACCACCTCTCTTATCCATGGTGTCCCACAGGGTTCTGTGTTGGGGCCTCTGCTCTTCCTCCTCTATCTGCTTCCTCTTCAGCACATCCTGAGCTCCTTCAAAGGAATCTCCTACCATCTTTACGCAGATGACATCCAACTGTACATCTCCTTTAAGCCCCATGAGATATCTAAGCTGCAGCTGTTACACACCTGCTTAGACTCTATCAAAACCTGGATGGCTGGGAGCTTTCTTCAGCTGAATGAAGATAAGACTGAGATCCTCATTTGTGCCCCAGACAAGCTGGTTCCCAAAGTCAGAGACTCTCTTGGTCAGCTTGCTTCTCACACCAAACCTTCTGTCAGGAATCTTGGCGTGACCTTTGACCCAGCTCTCACCCTGGATTCTCATGTCAGTTCCCTTGTTTGCTCTTCCTTCTTCCATCTTAGGAACATTGCTAAGCTGAGTCCCATTCTGTCCCGCTCTGAACTTGAGACTGTTCTCCACACCTTCATCTCCTCACGCTTAGACTACAGCAACTCTCTTTTTACTTGTCTGAGCAAAACATCCTTGGACCCTCTACAGGTGGTTCAGAATGCCTGTGCTCGGCTTCTGACCAAGTCCTCCAAAAACACACACATCACCCTGCTTCTCCTCCAGCTTCACTGGCTGCCAGTCAACTTCAGGGCTCATTTCAAAATCCTGGTTCTGGTCTATAGGGTCTTACATGGGCAAGCACCATCTTGCATTGGTGATCTTCTTAGTCCCTACACACCCAGCAGGTCCCTGAGGTCCAGTGACCAAAGCCTACTGATTGTGCAGCACACCAGGCTAAAGACCAAAGGTGACAGATCATTTGCTGCTGTGGCCCCCAGACTCTGGAACTCTTTCCCCCTGAGCCTGAGATCAGTGGACTCAGTGGTCTCCCTTAAAAATCAGCTGAAAACTCACTTGTTCAGGCTGGCTTTTGTGTGACCTTCATTACCCTCTCCTTGTTCTGCTCTCCCTGCCTATTCCACCTTCCTCAGGATCCACTGATTTCCCTCTTTCCTATTCACTCTCTCTCTCTTTCTCTTCATTTTTATTCACAATTGTCTATTTTTTTTGCTAATTTTAAATATATTTGTAATCATTTTCTAAATTCTTTTTTATATTTTTACATTTTTTGTTTTTGTGAAGCGCCTCGTGATTTTTATTTTGAGAGGTACTATAGAAAAGATACTTCTTCGTCTTCTTCTTCTTCTTCTTCTTCTTCTTCTTCTTCATTTCTTTGTTTTATTCGTTTTTAATTGGCAAGTTAAACTCCACCCGGTTCCGTTTTATTCCTCACCAAGGTGAAAGGTAGAGGTATAAGAAAACAAGAAGTAGAGAAACAAAACAGGACTACTTTTACATAACAAATTGCACCAATGCGTCACCGTGATCGATAGCCGTCTCAGCCAATCAGCCGCTGAGATTTGCAGCCAGCGTTCGCGTTGTTTTCGGGAAAGGGGCGTGAGTTGTCAGGAAGAGTCAAGCAGCGAGAGGAAATGGTTCCGTGTCTCCGTTCCTGGTGTTTCTCATCTAAATACGGTTAATTTCACAGTCGTTTTGACTACCGTATGCTTGTCTTAGTGAGATTTGGATTTATGAAAACGACTAAAGACACTTTGAAGGGGCACAGAGACGCCTTGATCGACTGAAACGTCTAATGCTCTAAAAAGGAAGTAACTTGCCAGCTGTCTGGCTTGTTTGGTAAGTAAATATTCATGTAATAAATGTTTATATCGAAAACAGCTCGGGTTTTCAGTCAGATGTAAACAAAGACTCACGCGTTTGTTATTCTCATGTTGCTGCTACATTTTGAGCTACTTCGTAGTTTTAACACCGAGTGGCTAACAAGCTAACGTTAGCCGACGTGTCAAGACTCTCCTTGCGTGCAGAGGCGGAGCTGGCCTAAATGGCGCCCTGTGCGAGATCCCCCGCGACGCCCCCCCCCCCACACACACACACACACGAAAAAAAAATTACACCTACAACTTTGTTTCAAATTGCGTGGAGTGTATTATATGTAACAACGTTTGCTAACTGAATACAACATCCAGCTCCTGGCCACCTTCTCACCACTTGTCAAAGTTCTACTGAAATAGTGATGATGACAACACCTGCCATCGCCTTCATTCCTGGGAAATATGAAAGTAGTTGGCACCTTGGTAGGTCCTCCTCGAACTAGCTCTGTGCGTATGCTGTCGGTAATTGGTGATGGCCACTTGGCTGGGTCTGAAGAAAGAGGCTCATCATCACCTTCAATGGGACTCATTGGTTGATCGTTCAGGCTTCTCTATTGACAGAAAACAGAAGCGTAACTCAACACATTGCTATGTGGACCATTTCACATATTCTATTAAAATACAATATGTGACATTCAAATTTCTCTAATGTTTGCAGGACACACACACACACACACACACACACACTTGTGCAAAACTTACCTGACATATCTTGTTGGGGAGATGTGGCAGCTGGCTGTCCCTCATCAAGTTCACATATACTGGTAGGTCTCTCTATGGACAGAAAATGGAAGCATAACTCACCACATTGCTATATGGAACAATTCCCATATTCTGTGAAAATACTATTTAAATGTCTATAGCTAAATGTTTGCTGGACACACACACACACGTGTGCAAAACCCACCTAAAGTATCTTCCTGGGGAGATGTGGTGCCAGAAGACTGTCCCTCCTCGAGTTCAAATCCTGGCCTACTGGTATGAGCAGTGGAGGTAGATGGCTGTTCCTCAGTGGCAGCTGATGTCATCCCAAAATATCTGTGTAGGGCTCCTGATGTTGCATAAAACAAGCAATACAATCTTCATGTCACGTCTGTTGTTTTAGCATTTTAATTAACATGTTACAATGAGCATTTACAGTTTTCAGCAGTGGTGGAAAGAATTCTGAAAATCTGTACTCAAGTACAAGTACTGTTACATTGCTAAAATATTACTCATTTACAAGTAAAAGTACTGGTGTTAGAGAAATACTCAAGTAAAAGTACAAATTATTCATAAAAACCTCAGAGTATTATTTATTTTTAGCGGCTGATGTCACCATCACTTCTCCAGACTGGGGCTGCCTGGAAATTGTGTGTTTTCCTTTACCAAAAGTTAAAACACCAACAATCTATTATTCATTAATAATTGATAAAATACAAAACAAGTGTTTTCCCTAATTTTTTGTCATTTTAAGTTTTTATTTCCTTATTCAGCAAATGTCTCCGGCACACAAAGAACTAAATGACCAGAGGAGCCACAACTATTGATTAAATATCCATGAATCCATTTTAACTGGTTAAATTCTTCAACTCTCCCACACTGCTTCAAGGTCACTGTGAGTTAACATAGCCGCAGTGTGCAGCACACTTAACGCAACACGATGACATCATCGACTTGTACGGTGCTGAAAGGCGAGACAGTCTGAACTTTCAGCTAAAAAAAGACCGCTCTGGCTATTATAGTTTATATTTTATGGCAGTTTACAGTATAAACGGGATCTTATTAGCAGGGCACCTCCAGCGGCCAGCTGCCGCTCCGTTTTTCGTGGGGTAAATAATACGTAGCTCATTTCCCCAGTCCAAATAGAAAGGCGAATGGCGCCGGCGCGAGACCTGCCGCCCGCCGTCAATGTATTTCAGCAAAATTCTCAAAGACTCATTTTAATTTGATAGCGTTTGGTTATCAGCCTTTCGGTTTTCCACTCTTAGCTTTTCATAAAAGCTCATTTGACAAAGAAAAAGCTAGCGGTTGGAAGTAATTCTAAATACATGCAACGTAAGAAGCTAGCAAAAGACATTTGAAGGGATCATCATAGCACCATGCAAAACGTTCAGATTAGAGAGGTTAGTTAATCAATAAGTTGGGGGACAGGCGGGAAAAATACCAACTAAATAATAAAGAGACGCATACCTGCATCTTTTCCTCGTTTCTCCTCCTCTTCTTTTCTTTTTTTCCGAAATTGGGCACCAGATGGCTTCGACCGCTTCTTCTCCATTATGTTTGTGAGTGGTGATATGTGAAACGGTACCTGTATCCCTCCATCATCACTCTCCGAGATCCCTCCGCCCCCCACCTGATGAAGGGCGCTATAGAGCGCACTACAGAGGCGCGGCGGACACAAGGGGGCGCCATAAAATCCCAATATAAACGCAAACAATGACTTTGTTGTGCTTTTATTACAGAAATATTATTATTATTATCATCACCACTCATCACTATTATTATTATGAAGAACATGTGATTTCTATGTTTTGTTGATGTATTGGTTGATGGAAGAAAAAATAAATAAAATTTAAAAAATAATTAAAAAAAATAAAAGAAATTAAATGCTGCCCCCTCCAGACTGCCGCCCTGTTCGGCCGCACATGTTGCACATATCAAGCTCCGCCACTGCTTGCGTGGATGTGCGGGTCTTACTTTAACCCTTTTCCCAAAATATCAACCACTGTCTGTGTGTTCCGTCGGGAAAATGCGATGTATTTTATTTGTAATATTACTTAATTCAAGTGTCAATAAGGATGTTCAGATTTTTATTTACTCTTTGAGATGGCATGTGGAAAATGAAAGTAGACAATAACAGCGCCTATAGAAAAGCAAAACCATGAAGTCAGACCAGTTGACAATATGGCATACCACCCCTAGCAATATTAAATTAGTTTGTTTTATTTCCATTTAAGAGAATAGGGAAATTATTAAAGCGGTTGTTGTGTTTTTGTTTTTGTGTAAATGCTTGTGCTAATCTACTGTTTGTATGTCAGCTCTGTAATCAGAAATGTAAAAGGTTTATTTGATTTATTACTTAATAACTGATTGTTAATTACCTAAACTGGTAATTATTCTTTTTGTTACAGGATTTTATAAAAAACAACAACAACATTTATGTTTCATCTTTTACATGCACCATAAATGTGATCGGAGGCAGACAACATGTTCTAAACTGTTAATTTTAGGCGGATAGGAGCTCTTTGCTTACCTTTTGTTATCACTTTGATATTCAACATAAAAGGAGAGAAATGATCTCTGACCTTTTCATGTATTAACCAGGTTGCCTCTGTCCAGTTATCGCCTCTGCATTTATTTTTTACACCCAAGTTTTGTGTGTGTGTGGTTTTGCAGTTTTCACATATTGACACACATTGCTCCTTATTTTGATGCAATCGGACAAACTGTTACAAACAAAAGTTTTTTAACCTTTTGTAAAAGTTCGTAAAAACAGTCGAATGAACATTACCCACTGAAATGCCTCAATCATAACACAAAGTCCCATTAGTCATCGTCACACACTAGTGAAATGACATCGCTGCATTTGCCCCATCCCTCGTTGGGAGCAATGAACTGCAGCAGTGGCTGTGCTCAGAAACTATTTGGTGGTTTAATCCCCCAATCCAACCCCTTAATGTTGAGCGTCAAGCAGGGACATGGTTCCATTTTTAAAGTCACTGGTATGACCCAATTGGGATTTTAACCTCAAATCTCCCAGTCCCAGGGCAGACACTCATACCACTAGGCCAGTGAGAAGGTAAATACTTCTAATTTAAACTTTATGAGAACTTCCTAGTGGTTTTCTGTTTTACTTCACTACTGTACAATGTCAAAGTTTTGCTTAATTAGTAACATTTTTGTACTGTTTGATTCTCTTTTAAAACTGACATTTGATCAAATCAATCTCAAGTATGAACTAATCAGATCAAAGCATTAGAAACTTGCTTGAGAGTTCGATAAGAAGAACAGAAACATCTGTATAATTTTTCTGTTCATAATGCAAATCACAGTTTCCTTGTGAGTTTGTTTTAAACACCAGTAAAACATAAGCACAGCAAACATCTAACAAATGGGTGTATTACCTTGTTAGACAGCTTAGCTTTATCACATTGTACACAATGAGGCTGTTTCTGGTGTAAGATTGGTAGTTTAAATATTTGTTAACTGTAATATTTTAGTTATTGACTTTTCAATGAGTTATAATTTGACTTGCGAATACCACAAACATTTGAGATTTGGGTTATTTTGTACAAAAAGGAAGATCTGACCAGTCAGTGGCCATACTTTACTAATCAAGCTAGCTGTTGTTAACGTGTGATTGGTACATTTCTGATATGAAAAGGGTAAAAACCAAAAGTGTTGGTTTTGAATCTTAGATTATCTTTAGGAAAAATGGTCACACAAGGACATCTGCATGCTAAAACAAATCATGAGGTGTAGATTGGCAGTTAATGATTTTACTTTAAAGTATTAATCGTCATTTCATCATTTCAAATGTAAATGTACTAAAGTTAGCCAAAGGCTCTTTTTCATCAACAGGCCTGTTTGCAGCATCTAAAGGATTTGTTTTTGCTATTGTAACCTTTGTAGAGGTCGGCCGACATATCGAGCCGCTATATTCAACTTTTTCTTTATCGGCCATTGGCTGAAATTATTTTTAAAAGAAGCCGATAAAAAATAAATAAATAAAAACCAGGCACCTGTGTGGCCAACTACCACCACTACTAGAATGACGAAAGGACCCAAAGGACCCCAACACTGTTTTTTTTATATTTTGTCAATAAATATTAAGAGATTTATTGACTTATTTTATTTATATTGCACACAGTGAGTGTACAGTTATCTTTCAAAATCAGTGCGCTGCTAAAACGTGTGTGTGTGTGTGTGCGTGCGTGTGTGTGTGTGTGTGTGTGTGTGTGTGTGTGTGTGTGTGTGTGTGTG